CGAAGAAGAGGCGGCATGCCTACACCTTCCTATTTACGTTCTCCGAAACTCCGGTTCCTCCGATTCTCCTAGGACGCTAGATTGATATGTATAGTTTCCTTTTCGAGCCTTTCCGGGTTCTTCCAACTTTTCGAATTCCCGTGTCGCAAGGTATGAAGGCAGCCTGAGATTCCCCAGGTTCCTTTCACGGATTCTACGATTCTTGAACAGCACCTAAATACGGCATTCCTTTCTGACAGCGAGTGTGGCTATAAATAACGTAAATAGTCGAGGATATATTTGGGATTCTTTAGTAGCGTTTAGATGTGAGCGGATATTCTGGAGGACTTCTACTAGGATGCAAGACATAACGCATTGTATTCTCAAAGCAACAGTCGAAATAACCGACTTGAAAAAGAGAAATGAAGGTTCTAGGTGCTCCCGTCGATTCGTTGATCACGAGTACTTATGGACCACCCCTCCGGACTTGTTCTGCAGTACCCCTGAATCTTTCGTGACCCAGTGTGTAGACAAAAATTTGGAATCGTATTTCGAGCACTATTGAACTATTCCTACCTCAGAAACTCAGACAATTTTTTCACTGAAGCTGTGCCTATAGATGTTATTTGACGTCTTGATCACGAAGACATTTCTAGCGCTGGCGCGATTTGGCGCCAATTTGGCGGCACCACGTTTCTCACCAAATTTGATGAAAACTTGTATACGGAGGTTAATTGACATCGCTCACGAATATGGCATTTAGGCGCTGTTTGTCGACGGGGGGGGCATTTTGTATTATCATTGCTTCCCTAGTTCCGGTTTACAAATCTCACTCTGGTAAAACTTGTGAACTCTTGTGAAGCTGAAGTAAGATCGTCTAGCCACTATCCTAAAACGTGTCAACTCGAGAAACGGCTGCCTAGATGGGTCGACACATCTATGGAAAGCAAAATGCCCCCCCCCGTCGACAAACCTGAAAATGAAAAAGCTAGTGCAACATCTTTATAGTTGAGCAGATGGATAATAGTAACCTTACTCTGACAAGCTTAGAGCGCGTTCAGACTTCGCGATCGCGCGATCGCGAAGTCTGAACGCGCTTCTTAGGCATTCAAAGGACTACTTTTGTAAAACTCGGGTTAGCACAGAAACGTTGGGTTAAGGGCAAACACCTGACCTCAGGCGGATCTCTATCGAGCCCGCACCTCACGCTAACCAGCTGACTGCTCTGTCCGGTACGCAAAGGAACGCAACACAACTTGTCATGGATAGCGCAAACCCCGGGGGGGGGGGGAATTCGAGCAAAATCTTCGGTAGGCATGAGGTGCCAGTTCAAATAGGGCATGTCCTGGAAAATTATAAAATATGAACCCCTCGAAACTTCTTCCCCTAGTACGTCCCCCTTCCCCATAGCCTATTATACCTACCATCCTCCTAAAATCTCCAACTGCCCGATACTTTTCCGAGAGAATTCCTGTAAGAGTCCCGTAGGTCATAGGCAATCATATAGTGGTGCAGCACCCCAATCTATTTGTTTCATCATAGCTTCTCTTGCGCAGGCTTAGAGGAATGCTGGAAGTACGGTATTGGTGACTCATCTCACGCATGGTATTTAAAGGCAGTTGGCACGATAAATCCCCAAAGACGAGTAGGATTCATATGCCTGACAGGGCGGATTTCCGCGACCCTGAGCAGGCCCTGCGTAGCGGTTTTTCGGAAGGTACCCTTATGAAGGGTCCTATCAAGCTACAACTTTTCAACCCAGACGCCTACCACGCCCGCCCGCCCACGAATGGACGACCCTACCAGATGCTCGTTTTGCTTCATTTGCTATCACCCCATATATAATGTCTATTTGTTTGTTTGTTTGTAAGTTTGTCTGTCCGGAAATTCGGTTCGACCTGAAGAACGACTTGGAGAGGTCCAGTCAAGGTGGGGATAGGTAGGGCATGGGACAAGAAATAAAAAGCACACTGACCTATGGGAAGCCCCGCCCACAGTGGGCGGGGCACTCGCCGAAAGTTTGGGGTTCCGCAGAAAAATGTTCATAATTCGCTTCCGGAGCAGCTTAAAGATGGGGAAAAAAGGGACTAAGGTTAGTAAGGAGTCGCCAGACTAACTGTGGCAGGTACACCCTAAATGGGCGGGCGCGTACTCAAGCTGGGCGGTGCTTCTCGCAAAATTCAGTAACCCGGTTCGCGAGAGTGTTTGGAAGTCGCAAAAAACTCAGTGTAGAATGTAAATATCCGGCGAATACAGGGCACGCTCAAAGTGTGTTGAGACCCGCCCACAGTGGGCGGAGCTTGCCCTAAATCGCAGGATACTCATTTTTAAAAGTTTGTAGCTCGGTTCGGACGAGACCGGAAAAAAACGTGCATCAAGGTCGGCAAAGGTTCGCCGGTGAGGACTGTGGGGCACAAACATGTGGGCGGGGCCTGCTCCGGTTTGGGCGGAGTCAGACGAAAAATCTGTAAAATAGTTTCAGAGCACTCCAGACACGGGAAAAAAGTGGATTAAGGTCAGCAGAGGGTCACCGAATTCTCTAAAACTGTCCCAGAGCACTTCAAAGACCGGAAAAAACGTGGATTAAGGTCAGCAGAGGGTCGCCGGTGAGGATTGTGGGGCAAAAACGTTGTGGGCGGAGCCTGCTCTGAGGTGGGCGAAGCCGGACAATAAGGTCTGTAAAACGGTTCCAGAGCACTCCGAAGACCGGAATAAAGTGAATTCAGGTCAGCAAGGGTCGCCGATTACGAAATGTGTGGGTATACATATTGTGGGCGGAACCAGCCCGAGGTGGGCGGAGTCGGACAAAAGATCTGCAGAAGCGGTCCCAGAGCACTCCGAAGACCGGAAAAAAAAAACGTGGATTATCGGTCATGCAGGAGGACGCGCCGGTGAGGATTGTTCGGGCCAGAAATTGGTGGGCGGGGCCTGCTCTGCAGGTGGGCAGACGAGAATCTGTTTAAAAATAGCTCCAAGAGTACTTCAGACACCGGAAAAACGTGGAGTACAGAACAAAAGGCGGATATCACTTTGAGTCCAGAAATATGTGAAAGAAAAGTACGCGCGGCGAAGCGCGTCTCCGCCGCGCTCCAAGCCGGGCCGTATCAGAAGGAAGCCGTCGCCCGGCCCGTCAGCCGGCGAGGCGACTGGTTTAAAATATACGAAACGAAGAGATTAGTATGAAGCGCTGCTGCAATGGATATATGAGTAAATAGATCCTCGTTCCCCTCGCTGATCTCCACTGCCTCAGGCCCCGACGCTCTTCCAACACTCATCGACTGGATCGATCCCGTTTGTATTGCTGATAAATCAGTCTGCTATTCGTGTATATTCAGAAGCAGCCTTCCGGCACAAGGGGTCATAAACTCGCAAATATGACTTTCCCCAGCTCCTTCCAAAAAAATAAGGTTGAGCGAAGAATGGGGAGGAGGGATTTCTGGCGCCACTTGAAGCGAAAAATTACAAAGAGGGTTTACAAATAAAACGCTTGCTCTCAGACTTTACTTCCCCTCCACCGGACCAAACCACCCCCCCCTCCTCCCGCCTCGCTGTGTATGTCCAAACTTCGATGTTCCCTGGGTTCGAGTGTAGCCTGAGGTCAAGAAATTTTGCGTAACTCAACATTCTGCGACAACTCTAGGAGCGCAAACTGTGGCTTTTAACATCAGTTGTCGTATGAAAAGCAAACTGGTAGTGCAACGACCTTTCTGCACAAGGAACTTTGCTCATACGGGACGGAGGGCCTCTCTAGAAGAAAGCCAAGAGTCCTCCTATTGCACCAAAATGCCCTATTTCAATGGAGTAACGAACATAACGGCATACAGGGAAAGCACGCTTCTACAGTGCGAACGCAATACCTTTCCACGAGCACGACGCGATGCTTTAGTGAATCGCAGCTTTCTGGGGTTACGCTTCTTCTTGAACAGCTTGTTGCATTTTGATCGACAAAACTTGAAAATCTGAAATGACACAATCTGCTTTGGGTTCACTCCGGCCTTTAACTGAAACCGATTCACTGAAACGTACTGTGGATTGGCATGTCGTTTCTAACAACTGAACACCAATGACCAGGATAAGATCGCCGGGCGTCGTGAGGAACAGTAAATAACAAGAGTTTCTATCCGCATATTTTACCCTAAAAGTCACACAATTAAATACCAGAAATGAAAAATAGTGCCTAAGATCGAGAGGGCGAGAGAAAAACACGTAAGAATTACGACGATTCCCCTGTTAACAACGATTTAACGTTTAGCTTTCAAATTGCTTGTTCTAGGCTTGATGTGAATTTGTTTGAATGAAATACGGCACTGCTGAACTATTCCTGCCCAGCCTCCGAAACCATGTCGATTTCTTTACCACCAGTCGGATCGCCCGCCTTCGGCGGGCGATCCTCCTTATGCGTGTGAAGTGGGTCCCCGGCCATCCAAACTGAGGGCCAGTCGGATCGCCCGCTTTCGCTACAGAAAAATTTTTTTTCGCAATTCCAGAACATTACCGTTTCACATTTGGTATATACCCCCCCCCCCCCCCCCCTAGTGGACGGTTGTGAAATTTTCGTAAAGGGGAGGGGTGGAATTGCCGGTAGGTGGATGAACTGAAGTGGAAGTGGCCTTGGTGGTGGTTTGAGTTGCTGTAGAATGAATATGCAGTGTAATTAAACTAAATAAATAAAAAAAATAAATAAATGCAAAAAATTGGTAGTAAGTTATGAATTTTTCGATTATGAGCTCATATTCACTGCTGTTCTCACTTGCCTTGCGACTATATTACGAACTTTTGCAGCGGGCGCCGCCGACTCGGCGCGCATCTCTTTCGCTGGGGTGTGTTCACTTATGTTACCCCCCCCCTCGCCCCCCCCCACCTCTCCATAGAATGCAGCCCACTCGAATCTGTAACAAAATTCGAGTCGATCACAGAGCGGGTTCATCCAAACACTGCTCGCAAAAATCGATCGAATCAACCTCGACCCACTTCTTACTCCACGTTTTCCCGCTGCTCGGGTAGTTCCGGGTTTGAACTTCGAAATTTTTACTTGGTCCCCGCCTACCCAGACAAACGCCCGCCGACTGCAATCTGCCGGGCTCTTTCCAACGCCCAGTTCGGGTGTGTCTCCTTCTGTTTATCTACCTGCCCACTTTTTACTCGAGTCCGTTTTCCCGCTGCCCGAGTAGTTCCGGGTCTGAATTTTGAAGCATTTGCGGTTAGCCGTTAGCCCCGCCGCCCGAACAAACGCCCCGCTCACTTCGGGTGTGCCCCCACGCCCATTGTGGGTGTAGTCTAACGTGGTGCATAGAGAATGATTTTGTCCCGGGTCCCCGTGATCTTCCGAAGGAATTTACGAATTTTTGTCGTTGGCATTACTCACTTCGGTGCACGCCCCGTTTATTGTGTGCGAGGCTTGGTTTGTGACTTTCAACATGCCCTCACCCCCCTCCCAAAGTTGACGGCTTTCAAGTGTTTTGTTGACAACGTTTCAACAGACACCGCTCAGCTATACATAGGCCCCGCCCATTGCTGCGGCGGCAGCTTTCTCCTATTGGTCCGTCCGTTCGGGCGAACACGCAAGCGTACAAACACACACACAAACACACAACTTCTGCTTTATATATAGAGAGGATATAGAGAGGATTTTTTACGCTATTAGCGGCCAGATTTGCGCCACTTGAAAATATCGCGTACAGAGTATAGTTTCTACCTTCTAAACGCGAATATCGCATCCACTCAGTCCAAAACTGCATGGCGCCCGCGCCACTGTCGCCGGCGGGGCCAAAACCGCTTGGCGCCGGCGCCAAAACATCCTAAGCCACCAAAATCGATGAAAACTTTATACACGGATGTTATTCACATCCTGATGTTACAAATATGACACTATATTCCTGGCGCCGGCGCCAATGTAGGACACTATGATAATCTGCGCTGTGCTAAGGCTGAGCCTGGCCTGAAGGGAATCACTCCTCCTACCAGACTGAGTCTCAGCAGAACTCTAAATTGCGCTGTTGTAGAGAAATAAGTGCCATATGTGATTAGGGCATCAAACAGCCCTACTACGCAAGAATTTTT